GGTAGTGCTTCAGYTGATAAAATTGTACCTCGGGGTGTTAGGCAGGTTGTGCACATATGGGATTAAGCTCTGGGCCAGTACAGAAGATGAAATCCTAGCCCTATCAAAGATGATGGCAAATCTCCCTTTCACAGCAATATGGTCAGGCTTTCTCTTTATCCTGAGGATTTTCCAAAGAAGGAATTAGGAGGAAATAACAAAAATAATAAGGTGCTAAGCCCTGAGCACACAGACACCAAATGTAATCAGTTACGCAGTGGCAGCGAACCTRAAGACTTCACATAGCCACTTCTTCTGCTTTAAGAGACTTCGGGGTGTTTTATTTATTTTTTTTCCTGCATGTCTTAATGCAGCATTGAAGTCTGAAAAGGGATTTCAATGAGAGTAACAGGGCAATGTGYTGCATCTCAAGAATAAACCATGCCCCTTAGTTCTGAACGTGCTCTGCCCATTGCCATTGTCACCCACCCATTGCCTGTGATGACAACATTCGCAGCAAATGCAGCACCCATAAAGCTGCAGACCTTAGAAAATGCCCTGTGTTTTATGGCACCAACCCAGATAATCCAGGCAGCAAGATACAAATATTATTGTTAAATTTTTTGAAGGTTTATCTGTAGTCAAGTGGCACGTGCAGAATAGAAAACTCCTATAAATGCTAAACAAACAGTGTGAGTTTTCCAGGAAAAAAAGAAAACATRAGGAAGAAAGGAAGAAAACATAAAGAGCTGCATGCAGGTATCTAATCCCTCTTCTATCCAGTGAAAGAGTATCACCTTAATATCACTAATATCACACTTAGAGTATCGCTCTAATATCAGACACACTTTCCTTTGCAAACTAGTCAAGATTTGGTAAGCAGCTGGTGACCATCCTTCAGCAACAGATTTCTACCTCTCCTGGCTTTACCTACTACATGTTCTGATGGATTTAGCTGTTGCTTCTGGGGAACATGGGAAAGAAATGGTACACAAATGTATTTTGTCTTCGTGGTCTTAGGGTCCGGTTTGTTTCTGCAAACTTAACATGTGAAGCTTGGTCTGTTCTTATCTATCTTTGACACTAGACATTCAAATTGGTTTTCCACATCATTTCCCAATTTGGTCACATCAACATGAGGAGGACACAAGCGATCCCAGGGGTGTTCAGGCTTCTCTCATGGCTGGACCAACTAATGAGAGGCATATGCCTTCCTCCTGTGAAGGTTTTCCCAGCCTCCCCTAAGTAATTGATGTCAGAATCAATACGCCTTTTTTTTTTCTTTTTTCTTTTTTCTTTTAAATTTCCTGCTCTTGGAATCTTGTCCAGTAAATTCCTTATTTGGATTTTATGGAGTTTTTGATCATATTTCTGTGGGGATAATTCTTTGGGGATGTCACAGGCACTGAGGAGCTCGAAAGAATTACCGTTGTTGACAAGATGTTTGACCACAGACAAGTGTTCTTCATTAAGAACAGGTTCTATTTTCTACTTATAAAAACAAACTTCCTGCACACTCCAGTTTCAAGGAAATAGCTTATTTTTATATAGACAGTTTGCATTTGAAGCCAGCAAGGGGCTTGGGCCTTCCTGGGCTTTTTATCACATTCTTGCTTGCTTTCCCTTGCCCTTGTCCAACTTCAGAGAGACTCCTCTCAGCAGATCATCAAGCCCTGTCCTAAAACAACAACAAAAAATCCACTAAAATGATCTTGTGTGGTTTTCACAGAGGAGCAGAATGCTGAGCCTACCAAACCTCCACACTGGAACAAGGGCTGAAGTCACCTCGTCCATCCGCAGTTCCTACTCGGCTTCTGCTTGCCATGTTTTAATAATGATAATTCCTAGTTCTGCAATGCTCTGTGTCCATCATCTGCAGCACTTCCACTGCTGTGGAAATGAATGCTCAAGAAAACAGCATGAATTGCCTGTGCTTACCCAGAAATGCAATGGCAGAGCTGTAATTACAGCTTGGGCCTCTTGGGTCTCATTGGAACTATTTTTTTTCTTCCTTCTTAGTGTCATCTGCATAAAAGGCTCCGAAAGGAGTTTCCTGATACCACACAGGGCAAWGCAGCATTTCCTGCAGACTCCTAAYGACTTCAGTGGTTTCCAGCTTTGAGCCTAGCAGAAACCATGACTCAGTAGACATTAAAGCATGTGCCCAATTAAAGCATACAACTTGTCCCATTCCTGGGGAAAGAAGGCAGCTGAGTGGATGTCCAGCTTATTTTCTGCCTTTGTAGTATTGTCAGAAATATCTGTTGATCCCTTTGTTATCTAAAGCTAAGTAACCTTCATGCTTTCCACGTCTCTTTGCAGCACCACGGTGTCTTTTCCAGAAGAAATGCCAGCATGATGATTTGTGGCCATGTTGCAATGGGAAGACTGAGTCTCAGACGTGTTGGCTGCCTCTCCTCCCCAACCCTGCCCGTGCCTCCCCTTCGGGAGCTGCAAGACCAGGCATTTCGCTGGGGACAGACCTGCCTGTGCAAGTGGGCCCATGGGCAACCTGCTCACACAGGAGTAGAGCACTGCTGCTTGACTTGTCCCACCTCTCCAGAGTCATCCTAAAGCATCCTGCACACAGCCACAGCATCAAGGTCCACRGATGCTCATTCCCAGCTCCCATGTGTTATAAAATGCAAGACCAGTRTTTATATCATGTTTTGGATCCGAAAGGGATGACACGTTGACAAAATTTTAGTTCATTCGTACAGATTCATAATGGTTAAGTATGGTTATGGATCTCACATTATCCTCAGTTTACTTCCATTGCAACAAACATCATTATTTCCTTTTAATCTTTTGTTAAGGACAGAGAGAAGGTGAGAATGGGAAGCAGGGGGAACACATTTACGTCATTTGTACCTTAAAGCTTTAAATGAGGCTTTTTTTTTACTTAAAACCTGCATTCACTTAGCCTTTACAAAACATTTCAATAACACAGTTTCCCACGAAATGTCATTTCCACGTTCGAGCAGCCCTAATACCAATACTTACCTCAAAGGGGCCTCGTGAGCCCCAATTAATTAGGACTCCATCCTGACCTACACTGGGCCCTTTGGCCCCGGTCCAGCAGAGCACTTAAACTACATGTTTATCTTTCCACATGTGAGCAGTCCCCCTGATTTCCGTGGATGCCTATGCATGTGCTTAAAGTTAAGCATGTGCTTAAGTGCTTTGCTGGAGCGAGGTCAAAGTACTGAGCACCTTCCAGCCTGAGATCCTTGTATATCCTGCAGAGCATCTCGAGGTCTTCAGAAGCATTACAGTGCTGCATGAGAGAGGCATGTATTTACATAGAGATCCACCTCCTTAAAATGCAACTGGGAGAGATTCAGCAGATTTGCTGCTTCTCTCAAGGCCCGGGCAAAAACATTTGTTTTTCTTTATTTATAACCAGTATTCAAAATATTAGCTGCTTCAGAATCAATACAAAAATACCAGCTCCGCTCATTCCAGACGGGGAAAAAAAAAACATGCAAACAAGCTCACACACACACAGACACATGCCCTGAGTGGAAAATAGCTTATGCAGAAGGATTTATAGCCGTAATTTCTACATCCTGCTGTTTYATGCAGATGAAAACGGGCATTTTATCATCACCATGATGATAAAAGCCCTGGGAAGTATGTGAGAACAAGGCAGAGCAAGAGCGAGAGGTGGGCCTGGCTATCAGCAAAGAGCAAAAGCCCTGGCGTGAGGGTGGTCTCCCATTCATGAGATAACGGCCAAGCTGCAGGAATGGGTGCCCTTTGTGGAAGGCTCTTGTAGCTGGGTGGGGAAGGGAGGTGTGTGGTGGGAATGGGAAATGATGCTTATGGCGTTTGGATGAGGCCTGCAGTTGATTATGTACGTCAGGCGCCTGCCGCCGTCGTTTCAAAGGGATCAGAGACGATACTGGCTCTGAGGAGGTGTTGGGGCTTTCTGGGMGATCTCCATACGTGCCGCTGCGATAATGAGGGAAGGGAGGACACCAGGGACCTGCGAGCAGAATGCAGATCCTCGCCTTGAGGCAAAGCGGGACCTAATAGACTAGTGGGGACATTTTACAGAAAGGGATTTTTCTGGCAACTTGTTCAGTGGGAGCAAGAARCCAGCAGAGCAGTTGGGCTTCAGACCTAAAGGGAAAAAGAGTCTGGTGATTTCAATGTAAGGTCTGAAATACCTGCTGGTGGTCAGCTTCTCCCCTGGCTGGATGCCATGAAAGTGGGAGAGACACCTGAGAGGACGTTCAGGCTTTGCAAAACACATGTTTAACAGAGCAGCCTATGCCTTGGGCTAGAAATCAGAAGAAGGTCTAAGTAATAAAGTTTGTGGCAGATATTCCTGTTTATTAAGAAATATTGTAAGGAATGGGTTCTCTCTCTGTGTTTCTTGGTCCCAAGTGCCCCTGCTCTGCTGGATCTTGAGCATGGACAACTTTCAAAACCAAGTAAGCAGTTCTCTTATAGGAGTATTGATKCCTTCCACAATGCCAGTACATGGTTCCCACTGCTGGTCCCCTCCTCGGATGGTCTCAGCATGAGAGGGCCCGCTCACTGAGTGCCTGGAAAGTGTAATTCATCTTCGGTGCTATCCTGAGCTCCCACCAACACTGGCAGAGTTAGAAAGAGGGAAGASGGGAGGCTTAAAGTTCAGCATGATTTAAAGATGTTAAAAACAGACTCGTGCATGATTTTCACAGAATCTCAGAATGACAGATTTTAGATTAAGCATATTCATGACTTGCCAAGATCACAAAGAGAAACTTCAGCAGTTCAAGGAACTGAACCCACATTTACTAAGTGATGATTGGGGTCCTTGCCAGTGAGACCACCCTTTCTCTCCTAACCCCATTGCAAATTCTCCAGAAAAAAAAATCAGGAAAAAAAACCTCATTCTTCTGACAGGCAGATGTTGCCAGGGCCCTGAGGGCACTAATAGCCCTGATCAGCCTCACCTGTGGCTCCTCCACCCCTCTGCCTATTGGCCCAGGGGACTATTTAAACTCAGCCCAGGWTCCTCAGTGCTTTCTTGGGCTGTACAGGAGCTGGGGCTCCTCTGTTGCTCTCATACCAGTATCCAAGAGCAGGTGAGAATGGTAGGAAGCTGCTTTATGTGAGATGGGACTTGAGGGCTAGATGTGTTCCTTGCCGCATAGGAGGCTTCAGGTAATTTAGTGTCTCTGTACTGTTCCAGCATTCAGGTATGCCTGGATTTTTGCTGGAGGAAGGACTAAAAGCTGTTGCAGTCAGTAGTTGGTTTGGCTTTGCTAGATGTACTTGCTCTGCCTGCATCTGAGCAGTGTTGGAGAGGCTGGAGCTGGGAGATTGTTTTCTGTTGTGTAGCTTGAGCTTTAAATGGAGCATTGACTCAAATACTACTCATCCCCTCTTGAAAMCTCTGAGGATAGATGTGGTGATATGACTGGAAACTGTGTTGCCTCTTATCCTGGATGAAAAGGAAAAGCAGGGATACTTATTTGAACTTTTCTAAGTAAATCCTGAAGCTATAGAGGTGTATTGAGATAACGATTCTTTATCCTTCCTGAGATGGTTCTGCCCTCCTAAGGCAGCTGAAGTGCTGTCCTGACTGCAGTCACGCTAGGTGCCCAGCTCGTGTGTGTGAAATTGAAGAAAAGCTCGGGTGTTTGTGAGCTATCCAAATCCTGGCCTTCYACGGGTGTAGCTGGAAGCCGGGACCGCCTGATGTCGGCTGTGGACAGCAGAGGGAGCCGGTCCCTTTCCTAAGGCAGGGCCAGGCCTGGAGCTGCTGTGGGAGCTGGAGGGCTGTAGGCTTTCACTTGGGAGCTTTCCAAGCCCCAAGGGCAGGGAGAGCTTCCCGGGTGCTGCCATGTAACTGAAGAGCTCAAGGGCAGGAGACCTTCAGCACCTTCCTACCTGGTGCTGATGGCATGGGCCAGTCCCCAAGGAGCTTCAACATCGCTGTGACTCCAGGAAATGGGGCCTGGYAGGGGAATGTGTTTGAACCTGAATYTCTCTTGAACCCCTTATAGCAGGGTTGGGGGTGTGTAAGGGGGCTGCTCCTGCTCATGCTTTCCCATTACACCCATGGCTCTTTGTCTGTCCCCTTCAAGTTTCCCACTCAGACCCATGGAATGACTTTTTGGCTGTAATACCAGTTACAGGTGGGGTATATGGCAGCTCTCCCCATGGCAGAGCAGGGAGGAAGGCAGGTTATGGTACCAACTTTCTCCTCCCACAAGACAGAGGAACAAAAACAGCTTTTTGGGGTAGTGTGAGGGACCTCTCCAGTGGAAATGCTCTCTGTGTTCAGGTTGTAGTTCTTCTRGCATCTTAATGCACCTGTACAGGTTGAAAAGGCTTAAATGTGCTTCAGGAAATGAGTACTGGGATGTATGTATGGGATGTATGTATGTACTGGGATGTATGATGCACAGCCCATTGCTGGTAGTGTGCTTGCAGTGCTGAGCAGCACCTCCTGGCCTCTGTCTGAAATCAAACCCAGATCAATGCAATTAACTTGATAAAAGCCACCACCYGGCAGGAGGCTGTCTCCTCGGGATATGCATCCATCCCCATGTGCTGCTAAAACAAGCCCCTGAGAGCTGGCTGGACCTCCTAATTCTGGGGCAGCTGCCTCTGCAACCAGCAGAGCCGGTCTGAGGGACCCTGTGCAGCTGCCCTGTCTTCAGGCTTGGCCTCTGGTGTGGAAATGGCTAGTGGCAAAACCATGGCCATCTGCTTATTGGTTTTGAATGCACTAGCAACTCAATTTTCCTTGATGGGTTTTTTATCAAGTGCATCCTCTCATCAGTCTCTTTTAGTCAATTTTGTTGTCTTTCATAAAGACAGAACTGCCTGTGGACTAGTGCAACTCTGCTGATATTGAGGTAACCTTGGTGAGCCCATGAATCAAAGGAAGAGGTAAGTGGATATGAAGAAGCTTGTGCTCATCCTACTAAAATCTTATACTTAAAATATTTAATGGTCTTKTTATTTTAAAAATGATCTTTGCTTTGTGGAAGGAAAGCAATAAACAGTTGCTGATGGTTTAATGGCTTAAGTGCAGCTGGGGCATTCAATCAGTCTGAAAAGCAAGTCATTTTTCAAAACTCRAGAGGTTATTGCTATAATGCATCTAATGAAAATGGCCAGAGGAAAATGTGACTTTTCTTGAGAGCTGCGGAAGCTCAATGGCTTGGCCCTCCTGAGTTCATGCTAGGCTCTGGGGAAGAGCTGGGGAGAGGTAAAGATCTGGCCAATTTGGGGCTTTCTGGGGCTTAATGCCCCAGGATTAGTGCAGGAAGGGGAAGGATGAGTCTGGAGGCTTCCCTGTCTGTTGGTGCTGCAGCTTCCTCTTCCCCACCTCTGTAAGCATGGCAGCTTGGAGACAAATGCTCCTAATAGTGATAGCTTCACAAGTGAAAGGTAGGGGTGATATTTATAATATAGTTAATGTTGTAGTCGTTCTCTTTAAGAGTGCAGCTACACAAGGCATATCTAAGTTCTGTAAATGCTTTGCCAAGCTGAAGAGTCTAGTCTGCTTTAGTCAGCTCATGACTTTGAATGTTCTTACTTCTCTGTGCCGCCTTAGTTAACTAGCATCTTCCTCTGATGAAGAAATCATAACTGCATGTAATATGGAAAATGGAACCAACCACAAATCCATATGGTGGGAGAATCACTATCTTCATAATCCATTTGCCTCTTGGGCTACTGAGTGCTGGACAACATGGTGAGAACTATGTATTGAAGCTCCAAGCTCATTTCTGACTGGGAACAGTCTGATGATTGTGGGCCTTCAGAGCTGGACAGATATTTCCCCAGGTACATAGTTTAGTTTAATTTTATTGGCCAATTTGCTATGCAGTCACTGTGAGCTGAGCTGGTCCTAGTTCTTCCTCATCAGTCCTGGTCTACACTGTTCCAAATGTAGTAACTTCAGCAGACTTTGTAGTGTGAGTATTTAGGAAAAGCAGCAAAGAAAAGCCAACAAGGTGTGAAAGCCTGAAAGCTCTAGGCCACCTCAACTGTGAGCAAAGGTTATTCTATCAACACAAATGCCCTTTTATCTTGTATCATTTGTCCCAAATTGTTGGAAGAAATAACCCAGTATTTTTTTCAAGGTGGTTTTATTTTTCTTCATTATCTAAGGTACAGAAGTTATACAACCTTGCAGAGCATGTTTTGTCTGCCCGAACACTTCAGAGGCTACTGTAAAGTGCTGTTTGTGTAAATAAGAGGTTCTTAGAGCTATGAATACTTTTGTCTAATAGCAAATATGAAATATTCTGCTTTAAAACAATAACACTTCCTTTCAGTGCCTGGGGATTTATGCAAGTTTGAGGGACGTGCCATGTAAGAGCAGTCTAAAATAGCTGTGTGGAAGCGAAGGCATCYGTAAACTTCCTTTCTTGAATCTTTTATCTTTGTTTCTGGATAGTCATCAAGGAGGGCTGACTCTCTCCACAGTGGGCAGCTCTGTGCAAAGCAGCCCATTAGAAAAGGGTCCATGTGTAGGGCAGGCTCCTGTGCTGGCAATTTCAGGCCTGTTCCCCATCAGGGAGCAAGTCACACAAACAGCTCTGCTGTCCAAGCTGCATTCCCCTCTTCCCCAGGGAGCTTCCTCAGTGCTCCTATTGATTTCAGCCTGACAGAGCTGACTGATGGATGTGGCTCTTCCAGCTTCTTACAGCCATCTACAAAACCTATGAATTGATTGGATCATCTGGGGATAGGTTGGTGGGATAAACTCATTACCATAGGCTCCTTCTRTAATGTATCAAAGCCTTTATGAGTCTAGGAGTCCATGCAAAACAAAAGTGCAAACTTTGGGATAAAATTTCTGAAAAACTTGCTGCCAGCAAGCAATAAGAATTTGGGACTTAATGAGGTTCTCTGAGAAAAGAACCAAAGTACCTCTTGATAAAGGAATGCTTTTTCAAATCAAGTAGAAGCAGAAATACTGGGCACTTTCTGGGGCTACTCTGTTAAATGTCATAGTATCCACYGCAATATGTGGTTGCTGCTGTGCTAACTTTGCATTTGTGGCACTGTGGAGCTCGCAATTGTGRCTCAGCAGTGCAAGAGCCTGCAGGGCAGTGACTGTTCATCAAGGGCCCTGCCAGCTGATCCATGCCAGGTTCTGCTCTGGGCATAGAGTGCAGTCTCCCTTGCCTTCTGCTGGATGATGCCTGAAAAAGGGAAAGGCTTTCTGAAGTAAAAAAGATATTGAATGAATGTTTGCTGTGTATCCAGTATGCTAGTGCACGGGGTGCTTGTTGGAAGCCCCCAGAAGACAGGGTGCTTGGCTTGCCATGCTCACCATGCACATTTATTATATATAACTAAACAAGGGAGCAACTGGAGGAGCTCTCCTGCTCATCAGCTTCTGAATTAAAGAGCCAGTCCAGCTTGTTAGTTCCTCTGTAGTTCAGTTTTCTGTTTGAAAAACAGATGGACTCAGTGAGGGGGAAGCAGTCATGTAATGCAACAAAACCTTTGATAGAAAAGGGATTCCAATTAACACTTAAAACCTGGCTCTATCCCTTCCTGTAACAGTTCTAAATGTTAATTCTGATCCTCTTATTTTTTAGGCTGCTTTTAGCGCAGGAAAGTGAAGAATTTATTTGCAATTCTAAGGTGTGCTTTAACAAACTGAAAACTCTGGGAAGAGTTACTGGATGCCTGTAATTGCTAGACCACTGTCATGCTGCATCAGACCTGTGATCCTTCCCAGCACTGACGCTGGTGATTCCAAGGCTCAGAAGACAGAGTAAGTAACTAYGGGAGGCAGATGTGGAACACTCCCCCAATGTGTGTCATATTGGGCCTCAATGGTTAGATGAATCCTCCTAATCACATCAGAGTTGTAGCAGACCAGACTCTGATCAGAGGGATCTTGATCCTGATAATTGCTGATGTGTTGTCCTCCTGATGCACCAGGAGTCCCTCAAGGGGACAACTGCAGGATGTGGCTATGTCAGTAAGGCTATTTTGCCTTTATCATCACCCAAAACACATTATCTTACGACCCACTTGCAGTTGCACCTCCTTCTGATAGAATAAAGTACTGATGGATGCACACAGAAGCAGCCATATGCTACTTGTTTATTAGAGCTAACAGCTTTTGTATGTGTACCAGCATGTGTCAGTGCTGCTCCTGGCCTGTTTATGATCTGCAGATTAGGCAGTGGAAGGGAAGGTGCAGCTGGGCTTTGTAGCTTGCTGAGTGCACAGCTGCACCAAAGGATGCTGTGGAGCCAGGGGTTACCCTGCTCCTGTGCCACCTCCTTGGGCAACTGGGGCTGAGGTGTGGGAGATGCATGGGCCACTGCTGCAGACCTTAAAAACACTCAGCAGGAGGATTAGAGCCCTTTAGAGAAGCACTAGGTTCTGCTTTCATAATATTTTTCCTTTCAGTCTCCCYGGGAGTTGGCACAGCTTGGTCTGCCACAAAGCAAGGCTTTATTTCCTTGCTCAGAACATCTTTGGTTCTTGGCAGGACAGCCTCAGCTCTGTGGGTAGATAGGACCCAGCCCAAGCAAAGCTGGGGCCACCTGCCAGGCTGCTTGCTTGGGTCTGTCCCTCGCAGCCTTGGTGCAAGCAGGCGCTTGCCCCACACCTGGGACATGAAGRCAGGGCTGAAGTAGAGCACAGGCAGTGGGTCGAGACAGGGTGGTGATTTCTGTGGGCCTGGAGGAAAGGCAAGGGAGCACATGAGCTGGATGAGCACAGGGAAAGCAAAGATTATATTAACTCTATGATCTGCTTGTTGCAGGGTGAAAGGCAAGATATTGCTGGAATATCCTCCTGATTGCGCATCTGCTTCAGGCTTTTCCAAGTGCTGGATACATGCAGCAACCTGGCAAAGGTGGGTAGCACCCAGCTTCCACTGGGACAAGTCTTTTGGGGAAGTTGGTGCAATAGGAGAACTCCTTACCAGCGCTCTTTGAAGGTAGCTGTGTGCTCACGGTCAGGACTGAGTCTGTTAGGACCTATCTCTTCAAAGAAACCTAATTGATTGCTGTGGGCATTTGGTGCTTACAAGCATCTTAAGGTCTCTGAGATTTCTGGGTAAAAATACAAAATCGGTGTAAAATATTTAAGGTCCTGTGTTTCAGCTAAGGAGGGAACACATACTGTTAGCAATTGGTTCAAAACACAACTTTTAAAAATGTTTCTGAAGAGGAGRAATCAAGGAGATGACAAAAGTAAAAATTGCAGAACTAGACTTTCTTCCTCTATCTTCAAATTATAGAAATGTTATTGCCCAAGTTGATTCCCTGTTTGTGATATGGATGGGGATTAAGATGTAGTGCAGAAGTGAGTAGCTGAARTGTTTTCAGATGAAGGTGACCAAATCACATCAGGGCAGTAACTTGGTGACGTTTCTAGCCTTTTCCCCCACCCTTCGTTAAGTGGCACTGCTATTCTAATCCTCGGGTTTGTAGCTGACGGAGCTACACTCATTTGCTGCTCTGAGGAGAAGGAAAGAGGAGAGGTAACTTCCGAAGTAAAATTGTTAGCTACAAAACAAAATATTTCTCAGACGCTTAATTTCCTGGCAGTTCGAAGCACCTTTCTGGACTTATGCCACTTAAAAGCAAAATACCAGTACATGGTTTGTTATGGTAGTTCTTTTAAAACTTTATGTTGCAATTGAGAAACTATAAAGAAATGTAATTGGATTTTGTTATGCAGAAGCTATTAATTCTAGTCTATTGTGGAATAGGTTCTTCTAAGAGAAATAATATATTTTGAAAAAATGCTAATCTTTTGTAGTCTGTTATACAGTTTATTTTTCAGAAGCCTGCAGTAACTGGCAAAAAGATGAAGTTCATTGCCTTATTTTTCTTTTGTATGCTGATGAACATGCTAGCAGGTAAGATAGTTGCTATATTTCTTGTTTCCTTTTTTCAGAAAGGAGAAATTGGTTTTTTATTACTAAATAGCAGGAAATTAATTAGTATCCCATCTTGCTAGTGTTTGCTGTAATTACTCAGGCTGATAGTGAAGAGCACTTGGTTTATACTGCAGAATGGCTATGAACAAGGAATTCTTTATTTGGCTACTTCAAGAGAAAAAACATTTGTTACCTACTTCTGCTTTGAAGAACTTGGCAGCTTCTAGCTTTGCAGCCAAGCTTTGGTAAATACAAAATGTTTCTGGATGAGACCTGGTACTGATGAGTTTCCTCTATTTTTGCAGATGCCCGATCAATCCGGGATGGAGATGGTAATTTTTAGTGTTACTTTTTTTCCTTTGTCACTAGCAACCAGAAGAGTCATTTGCAACTCCCCATCCTCATCCCTACCAGTGATTTCAGCAGGAATGCTTACTAACCTAAGAGGAGGGTACTTCAGACTCTGGTTCTGGTTAAGGAAGAGGAGAGTGAATTTTAAGTAGCTTCTTTAGAAAAATCACCAAAATATGTGTTACTATATTAGTGAGGGTAAGAATAGAGCTTATTTATTCTCCTTCTTAAAATGGAGAGAAAAAATGCTTCAAATGATTTATTGAAGGCAAATCCTCTACAGGGTTATGATCAAGTCATTATCTGCTTTATGCAAATAAGAAGCCTATGTTTATGCAAATAGCAGGCTTCTAACCATGCTAGGCTCAGATGTCAGACTGTCCTGAACCTTAATACTAGAAATGTTTGCTGACTATTCMCTGGCAAAAATCTTAAAATTTACCAGTTGCCACAAAGACCAAAAAAGAACTATTCCCTCAAAATTGTGCAGATTTATGTGCAGTAACAGTGTCCTACTGTTGGTGGGCATCTCAGTAGGAGCGGTGTGATAGCTGGTAGCATCCTGAGCATGCAGATACAAATATGAAGAGAGCATTGTAACAGATGTGAAAAACAAATGTATACAGATTAACAGCAAGGGGTGGTCTTCATTTGATGCCTTTTAATGTTTTTCCTCTACTGTTATCTTTCCTTGTATCTCTAAACATGTATTGAATAGATCACCTGTGTTTTGACAAATAAAAGGTATAGGGGACACTATTCATGTGCAGCAAGTATTTGTGGCAACCACAGTCAGGTGTCAATATAAAGCCTCCAGGTAGTATTCTGTTACTCATCAGCTTTTATGATCTTTTCTTTCACACTGGGCAAATTGGTGGCCTGCAAAGTGAATCTAACATCAGCTGACAGTTCTGCTCTGCAGGCAGCATTTGGCTGGTTGGTTTGCTTCGTTTTATGCCATCTGTGCTTGTGCACTGCAAATAGACTTCACTGACATTAAGGTCTGATGATAGGATTGTTGAAGGGTCTTAACTCTCACTAAAAACCCTAGTCCAGTGGGGGGTCTAATTATTGGACTGACTCTCATTTCGATGGACTTTAAATAAAATCAGAAGAGTGGGTTTGTCTTGGTAGCCCAGGAAGGCATTTTCTCAGCYGGGAATCACGTTTTTATTATGCTTYTGTGCTTGGCTGGATTTGGGGTCCAGTGGAGGTCAGCTCTTGGTATTTTCAGAACTTGATTTGCTTTCCTTTATGGCCTGAGCTTTAACAGAAAGGCTTTGTGCTGTATGGATCTTACTCTGCATTTTTGCATTGTAGGTCTCTACCAGGAAGAGGTCRCCATGCCCTACTGGCCTTTCTCAGCCAATGACTTCTGGTCGTATGTGGAGTATTTCCGGACCTTGGGAGCCTACGACAGGATCAACGAAATGGCCAAGACCTTCTTTGCTCAGCTCCCCTTTGGGAGTCGCTTGGGTTATAATGTCCCCAGCCATGAGCACTGATGGCTCTGCTCCTCTCTGCTGAGGCTGGTGTCGGGATGTTTGGGGGAAGCCAAGGCTGCCTGGGCAGGTACCGGTGTTACACTCAGCACTCCCTAGTCCCTGTAGCAGTCATATATACACACACATATGTATATATGCACATATATTCATATATGTGTATATATACATACACATACACTTCTTGCTTGGTAACACCAGACAAAATCAGCTTTCTTTTTACAATGTATGCCTGTGTGCAAAACCATTAAACTCTGTATTTTAGTTTCTGCTGTGAGATTGAGTTTTCTTTTGTACAGACATGCCTTGATGCTGATGGCTTTGATGGTGAGCTGCCAGATCCCCTTGCCTTTAGTGTCAGCCTCCACACCCTRGTTTTTGGCTTGTGCCTGTTTTATGGGGGTAGAGTAGGGGTTACTTGTGCTGCAGGCACTGCTGGCAGATCAGACATCACACTGATAGGGGACTGGGTATAAAAACACTTGGCTATGGTGTGTATATGGTCACTTTGCTTGGTGGAGGCTGTAAGAAGAAAGGGTCTTAGGATTGGAAAAATAACTTAATTTTAAATTTAATTTTAAATTTTTTTGTTTAAAATCAAAATCTGTTCGTACATTTTTTCATTTTTTATTTTTCCTCTCCTTTCTGTGCAAGGAGGGGGCAGCAACGCGCACGGTGCAGGCCGGGCGCCAAGATGGCGCGGGCCGCCCCGCGTCGCCCTGGCAACGGCGGCGGGGCGGCTCCTCCCGGCGTGCCGCGCGGCGGAAGCGGCGCTGAGGCGGAGGAGGCGGCGGCGCCGCCATGAAGCCGGCCGTGGACGAGATGTTCCCCGAGGGCGCCGGGCCCTACGTGGACCTGGACGAGGTGCGAGGCGGGGCGCGGGGGGTGCGGCGGGGGCCGCCGCGGCGCGGCGGGGCCTCAGCGCGTGCGTCTGCAGGCAGGGGGAAGCACGGGGCTGCTCATGGACCTGGCGGCCAACGAGAAGGCGGTGCACGCGGACTTCTTCAACGGTGAGTGCGGGGCTGCCCGGCGCCCAGGGCCGGCCCCTTCCCTCCGCCCGGCCTCCTCGCACCTTCCCGCAATGGCTGCGCTTGTGGTCGGCCTCATGCCGCGCTCCTGTGGAGGAGGCAGCGTATGCGGGAGCACCCCCTTAAATTGTGGGAGTTCTGCTGGAAATTCGAGCTKTTGTATCCCTAGCAGGGCACTCTCTTAAGCAGAGATCAGCTCTCGCTCGTTTCRGTGGTAACGGTTATACCAGACTGCKTCAAGCAGGCTTCACCCCAGTTACGTTGCCAGCCTGCGCTCAACACCCAAAGCAGACACAAAACCAAAGGCTTAAGGCACCTTCTGGAACGACCGGAGTGGCGTTGCTGGCATTGCCCCGTTGCATTGGCTGCTAGGGAGTGACACGGGGAGCTGGGGTTTCACCTGTTCTGAATGGGGTAACCGTCATTGCACCCATTTAAAAACAAACTGTTGTTGAAACTTCTCTTTGCTTTCGCTAATCGAATTACAAAGCTTGTATGGTGCAAGCGAAGCTGCCCATTTAACTGAYTTGTGGTAGTTCTGCTTGTGTGGAATGTGTATGATGTGTATGTGAAACATTTTAGTCTTAAGGACAGTTTAATTTATTTTTCTGACTAGATTTTGAAGATCTCTTTGATGATGATGACATCCAGTGAACTTCATCTTCYAGCCCTGCAGTGCTGAGATGTGGAATTCTGCTCTAGGATCACGTGTGGTGGCTGTTATTTATTAAAGTACCCAAAACAGAAAGTCCACTGCGGGGCGAGGGGGTTGATGAGGGGCAATGCAAACTTCTCAGGATTGTGAAACCCAGATGGGTAAAGATAACTGCAACAGGAATTGTGGACTGCCACACTGCATRGGTTTGTTGTTGTTTCTTTTAAAATTTACTTGCTGATGTGCTGATTTAATAAAATCTTGACAAAATCTCCTTCTGGGGTGTACTGTGAAAGTAAGTAGGAATAGCCACATTCCAAACTTTTGTACAGGACTTATTTTTGTGAAATCATTGACTGGTTCTTTTAGATACACAAAAATATCTGGCAAGGCACATTGCTGCTTAGAAAAGTTGTGTTCCTTCCACAGCACGGGATTATCTGGGATTTGGAGGCTGCTTTTTCTGAATGGGCTCCTTGGTGCCTTTGTCCGGTTCCAAGTTTGATATTCAGCTACTGTAGATACTGTGGCTTTAATCTGGGAGACACAGATAAAGAGTAGTACTTTTATCATGACATTTTAAGGAGGAAAAGCGTTACTGCTCTGTACCGTTGAAATCCTTGGGTTTAAACATCTAGCTTAATTCTTGAAATTTATTCATCTCTTTGTTCTACAAAGTCTCTATTTTAGGTTTCTTTCCTCAGACAGCAGACAGTGACATTGTATTTGTATTTGGGTATACGGTAATTCCCTACTGCTTTGTTCCCTCTGCCGACAGAGTCTTGATCTCTAGAGCTAAAACAGTTTGAGAAGTAACTGCTGGCGCTTGGGAAGTGGCTGCTCTGGCATCTTTGGGACAGAACTTGCTCTGTACTGGGTGATAAAGTTTGGGGTTAGTGAGATCCYTTACAAAGAATGCTGCTTAAATCACAAGCTGTTTCAATGTTCCCTGATACCACTGCAGAGACTTCTTTTTGTTTCCTGTTTGCACGAAGCAAAATCAAAGTGAACGTTATCCAGAAGAGGAGCAGTGGGCACCAAGGGCTGGCCGAGGCTCTCGGTGCAGCACCACAAGGCAAGTGGGGAGAGTGTGTGCAGGCAGTGCTGTGAGCAGCCCTGCTTTGGGGCTGCCAGTTCCCCTTGTCCACTAAAACACTCTGCATTGCACTGAGAATGTGTATGTGTGTTGGAGGGGTAAAAAAAAAAAAAAATTTTCGTTTTTAAGAATTTTCATGAGGAATTGTGATTTCTTTGGGTATGTTGGGGGAGCAGGGCCAGTCTGAAGAACAGACTGCCCTTGAGTGTCAAATTGCTTCTAAATGATCCTTAGTCAAGTCTTCCAGGCTAATTAGTCTGCAGGCAATTAGCCCCTTGTCAGGAAATAATTGCAAGGTGTCAGAATCTCTAATAAAAGTAATTTAAAGGGCATTTGTCAGCCTTAACCATTTCACTTATTGAGCTTTTTTGCTGCAGCTGTAGTGGAGATTGTCAAAACCCATAAATGTGTTTGAGTGGAAGAATGAATCTGACTTAACAGCACTGAGCATTCCTTTAACCTAATGTCTGTTATTTTACAAGCTGTTGGGTGCTCAGTGTATCTAAACTGAAAACATTTATTCAAGTAGTGAGTTTAGTGTCATGAGTTGTCCTGTTGCTTTGTGTGGCACAGCTTGCAGCATCCTGAGCCTTGGCRGCAGGAGATCCTAAGTGCTAAAATGCTTCAGAATGGGCACAGCTGGTTGTGCAGCACAAGGGGGAAGAGACAGGGCTGTGATGCACTTGATGGCAGCCCTTTCCCTTTGATGGTCTCACAGAGCTGATACCCCTTTGGCAGGGGACTGGTAAGTGTTACAATAAACGCTTAAGAACGTGCAGTCTATTTTCAGCTGAAATTTTCTTAAGAGAGTCTRTTTTCTTTGAGAGTTACGTGGTTAAAGAAAACTGGCCTTAGTGTATATGTAATATTTTGTATTGCTACCTGGCAGGAGAATCTCAAACTCCTGTGTTTCCATATGCTACGAGAAGAAGAGAGGAGCTCAGGCTTACTTCAGTACTGGGTTTTCYGGGATTCCTTTCCTTGAGGCTTTTTTAGTTAATGTCTAAGGCAGGAAGAGAAAAAGTTTTCTTTTCTATGTTGTACTTGAGTAAGTAGTAGGAGATTTTTTTTCCGTGAAGAAGGAATTGTTTTGAGAGGAATAAGAGCTCTTTGAATAAGCTGACATTCTTTGGGATGTTGGGGAGCTGGCAGTCATCTTTCTCCTCTAAATGTGCTGTTCCACACACGAAAACAACTATCCTGGATGGCAGGAAAGTTCTTTGCAAGTCTCCTCACTTAACCAGCACAGAGGCCCCAGCAAGAGCCCAGTGTCCRGGCTCTTCTGCAAGGCACGAGCAAACACAGCTTGAAGTCCCTGGCTGTAGGCACGGGTTTGAGGACAGCGATGTGCTTCCATGTTACTACTACCTTCTCCTTCAGACCGCCTTTCTTGTTCTCTCAAATGTCTCTCTTTGCTAAGCAGCAAAGTCAGAAGCATAATTCAAATTTGGACTCTTCTCAAGGTGGTACAGGGGCTTCAAAGTGCATGAGCAGTAAGATGGGGTCTTCTAAAGCTTTTTAAATTGACAAATAGGAGCTGCTTATAGATATTTTTTAAATTGACAAATAGGAGCTACTTCTAAATATATTTTTATTGTTTAAGAAAATTTCAATTTGCATGCAGCAGATTCTGTCATCTTTAATTTCAATGGTGATCACACTAGTTAGCTTGCAGTTGTGGTGTCTCATACTGCTTGGAAATGGTTTCTGCATCATTCTAGTACAGGTTCTGTGGGGTGAAAATGTCTGCTTTCACTTGCTTCATGATGACAGATTCACTGGGCTGGCCTAAGAACTGGTGTGTTTTGGTTCATACCCTTATTCCTTCCGCTTTCTGGTATCCTATGGGGAGGATCCCACAGATTGCCTTTGGGAAGGGAGTTGTGTGGTCCTCCACACGTGAAGTATCAGGTGGTGGGTTGGTGGTGTTGAATGCTTGCTTTGCATTGGGAATAAATCTTTTTTTCCCGCTGGAATGGTGGAAGATTAACAAGTTAAGCCTGCAGCCCTGTCATATGTGTAAGAAAAAGCATATTTTGTCTTATGTCCTGGAAAAGCAGCTGCGTTATGGAGAACTGGAATCCTGGCGTGCGCAAAGGGATGAACTGAAGAGGAGGTTTTCTGACTTGCCATCTCTGCAGTTATCAGAGCGTSTCTTCATCATATTCCTGCACCTAACCCAGGTACATGTCATAAGAAACATGACAGTGGCTGCTAGTCGGGGTCAACCCAGCCTTGATTCCCTCCGAGGTATTCAAGGAATAAACAAGTTTGGTGGCAGGTAAGTACAGTGATTGAGGTAAACGTAGGACTTTGCTCTAATTGCTGTGTTGTCTTTCCTGCCTCTAGTGAATTTACATTCTGCAAGTAAATAYGATACAGGCTTAGCAAAAAGACATTCGTGTCTCTCTTTTTGTAGCTGTTACAGTTCAGTGCTGCTCCTGTTTGTATTCCTAGTAATTACTGGTGGGAGTGRTTACATGGGGCTGGGACACAATTACGAAATGCTTGTAATTGTGTCTGAAAGGGACACGGATGTTTCCCAGCTGGTTTCCCTGCTGGAAAGAGGGGCTCCTAGCCAGGCTCTCCTTTTTCATGCCAACTGTAAACATGTTCTCCCACTACCTACCGGTGCAGTGACTTGAATGTTTTATTGGTAGGTGTTTCCAAACAGAAATATTTTATTGGTAGGTGTTTGTAAAAGAACGTTCTAATCCTGCTGCTTCTCACTGATGTTGGGGGGGTTCTTCCCTTCATGGACAGAGCTAGGTTAGAGCTTTGCAGGTGCTTGTGTCCAAGCAGCGAGGTAGGCAGGAAAGGGTCAAACTTCCAAAGAATCCAAGTGCTCTTTTTATAGCCTGSCCTCATTAGGAGTGACAAATAAGATGTCATTCTTCGTGTCTCAGTCCTATTATTTGTGATCTAATAGGAGCTGCTGGCAGCGTTAACCTCCAGCACAGTCTGAGTTGTGTTCCTCTAGCAATACCCTAATTTCAAAGACAAAAGCAGCCATTTGAACCTACTACAGCTAGAATAGCAAAATGGGAGACCTAATTTTTTACTTAGCATCTATTGTAGGGKTTTTTTTTTAAGGCATTTAAAATTGTCAGGGAGCAGATGGAAAGGAGCCCAAACTGTCTGTTAATGTCATTCTTGGTGCCTTAGTTCTATTTTAATCACTTGTTGGCAGGCGGYGTTGGGCTTGGTTGGTGCTTCCACCCAGGTGGTCTGCAAAGGGCTGGCCCTGCGTGTGAGGCTGTAAAATGSTGTGGAAAAGCCAACTGCAGGGGGATAAAGAGGTTAGATCCTTAAAGATGTAGATAAAACATTGTATGTATGAGTATCGGCGTTCTTGTGSGACTTCGTTGCCTTATACCCATGATAGTGCGGGTATATAAATAGAGCAGGCATCTTAAATATATTGCTATCATTCCCATGACATTGTTAGGACTATTTGTGGATGCAGAGCCTTGGAGCCTGCTCACAGCTGGAACCAGGAYGGGGCTGAACTGAGAACCCAAACCAGAGCCAGGCTTTGAAACAAGGATGTGCAGTCCCAAGGGCAGCATTGCAGTCCCTATGTGCAACCCTGGCCATCCTGCTATCTAGCTGGGAGGCCAACTGGGGACACCSCAGGCCTCTCCCAGCCAGTGGATCAGCTGCTGCAGCACCTGGTGGCATCTGCAAGTATCCCAGATGGAGCGAATTCTGTCTACTGGGGTAGGGTGATGATGGGGAGTGTGAGCGATGCTCTGGGATTTGGGAGGTGGTCCAAGGGACRGTGCAGACTCAGTCCCTGAGTTTCTAGCACATGCTGTGCTCGTGACAGGCCAGTGACTGTAATTTCAACTGAGAGATGGTGTTGGTGTGTGTGGGAGCTGTACTAATACGGATCATACAGATGATGGGGCTGTTGGACAGCGTGAGCGAGAAGTCCTGCTCCTTCCCCTAGCTTTAAGCACACAAATAGGCACCAGTGGATGAACGCRCGTGTCTCGAGTTCTAGTGCAGGGCATAAGGCTGCAAGCGTGTACGCTCCTGCTGTGCGGTGCCAGGGAAGGACAAATACCATTTCATCTTTAGAAACCAGTCTGTAGTGTTTTTCTGGTGTTTATTCTGAATGTTGTTTAGTGCTTTAGTCATTTCCATTTCCCTGGCTCCGGAAAATCCAACTGAATATATTTGGGGGAAAAAAATSCACACGGCAAAAGCTCTAACTTGCTCCTTTAGCTTTAAGCCTCTTATGACATTTGATCCAACAATTGGCACGTTTTTAAATTGCCTTTTGTTTATGGATTAGCCTGTGTCAGGATGAATTCAGACTTAAGGGTTTTGGGTGAAGTGTTTGGAAACCAAAGTTCATGTCCTTGAAGGAGGAGGCAGTTACAGTCTAAGGTGGAGGGATAGCAAAGCCATGGAAGGCACTCCCTGCTAGGAGAGGTTTCATCTTAAATTATAATTTAATTATCCAGCGCAAGAAGCAGAGTTATTCATGTGCACTGTAAATCTGGAGCAGTTAAGAGGACATTTATGTGGATGAGGACTCTAGGTTTAGTCTTTCTGTAGCCTGAGGATGCAGGTGAATTTGGAGAGCTGTTTGCACAACTAATGCTTGCAAATATATTGCCGGGTAATCTTGTGTATTGCTGCGTCTGGCCAGAGGCGGGGGAACTGCATCAAGATGCTTTAGCTGGTCCAGCATCTGGCTGGCTGGGGGACCATCAGGAAGGAGGATATGTGCTCTAAAACTGGATGTGGGAAACACGTCTGGACAGTGCCAGAAGGTAAAGCTTTCTCCTTGTATCATGCACTTGGCCACAATGGGCCAAACCTCATACATTCCTCCAGGAATGTTTCAGTTCTTAGTTCTTCCAGTTAATGGTTTCTCCAGGCAGTTTTTCTGCTTTTTTTTCTGCTCTACTGAGCTACCAGGTAAGGGTAGAAAAATGTCCCTTTCCCTAAACCCTTCCCAATGCCGCATATAAAAACGCTGGGACCTTTTACTGRGAGAGTTTTTTATTGTTATTTGTAATGTGGTCATTCACTGGAGTGTATAAAGTGCTGTGGTGGGGAGTATTTTCATTTGAAGCTCTTAATACTGTTTTGTGCTTGTAATAATACATCAGCTTTGCTGTGGGTGAGCTTGGTCAGAAGCTTAACAGGAGTCTTCTTTGAATGTATCTAAGAAGTTATCAGGTCTTTTAGCTGCAATTGGACAAACCTCCTTGGTGACGAGATTGTGGCCAGGCTGCCGCTGCTGCTGATGATGACTGGACAAGATCTCCCTATCCATGCCAAAGCCTTGGGGCTGAAGGAGATGTTGTCACTTCCAGGGCAACTATTTGGGAAGGAAATATCCACCCTCATGTTGTCTCTGTCCAGGAGACCTTCAAGGGGCCTTCAGCTCCTGGGCCAGGTAAGATGTTTGTAGGGGAGTCGCTCTCCTCTCCGCGTGCTGCCACCCCTGAGACCACCACATCTGTCACCCCTTCAGGAGGCCCAAAGCCACATGGTCGGAGAGTTCCTGGTGTTACGTAGCCTCCTGGATGCTCATAAGGCTTTCCAGACAAGTAAAAGGAGAAGATCCCTGCCCTGAGTAGGTAGGCTAAAATGAAGATAATGTTGCAGGATAAACATGAAAGGAAAAACAAAGCATTAAAATCAAYGAGAAGGTATCTGAATACATGTAGAAGTCTGGCTGAAGAAGGGCAACAACAGACCATGGGTGGAAGTCAAAGGCCCTAATAAAATAGTGGGGGTCAATATTCAATAGCAGGAGTAAGCCGTCTACTGCCAGTTGAAGGTGAGAGCAGATACAGGTTTCTTGAATAGCATTCTCCTTGTTCTGCTCAAATTGTAAAATGTTGGTTGAATTATGTGGCAATATTCTGAATTAATTTTTAAGTGGTTATTCTAAATTCCGTATTTAAAGGTAACTACTGTTTTACAGTTTTAAATTTTGCTAAAAAACAGCCTGTCTCAGGCATTACTGTTTCATGATGTGCTAGGAAGGATGTTTAACTCTGTGCCCGGTTTTTTCAGGGACAASAAGAGTGTAGGGATTTGAGGGAGCTCTTGAAGTCACTCGTTTCACCTCATTGATTTCCCAGGAATAGGATTCCACCCTGGGCAGCTGTAGCACCCACCAGAGGCAGTTTTCCAAGAAGCAGAGTACAGCTATGGTGCCCTCAAACTCAGTTCCGGGGCTAAACCACCGTGTCCTCTCCCGCATGCAACCTTTAATGGACATCCAGATCCGGGTAGAGGAGGAATCCCATGAAGGTGGAATCGTTGATGTTGTCGGCGTAGACGCCGTTGTTTGCCCCTTCCCCATAGACCTGGAGCCAGACCTCCTCGCCGGCGTTGAGGTGGAGCAGCACGGAGCCGCTCGCTTGGTCCACGTTGTTGGGCTGGAACTGGTCGTAGGTGAAGAGCACGGCGCGGTCCTGCTTGTACAGGCTGATCTTGGCGTCCGACAGGTACACCGTGAGGTGGTAGGCGAAGTAGTACATGCCGGGCACGCTGCAGCGGAACTTGCCCGTGCTCACGTCRTAGTGCTGCTGCTCGTTGTAGAAGACCTTGCTGAACAGGATGGGCACGTTGGGGTGGGGGACTCGGCCCGTCAGCCCCACGCTGAAGGCGGAGCGGTGGATGAAAGCGCCTTCCCCCTTCTCTCCTTTCATCCCCATGATCCCCGGCGTTCCGGGGAAGCCTCTTGGGCCTTCAGCTCCTTGGCTTCCTATTTGGCCGCTGTCGCCCTTGGCGCCTTTCTCACCTAGGGGACAGAGTGGGGGTTGACGGGGCGGTTTGTGCTGGGAGGGCACGTGGCTGCGTCGCCTGYGTGTGGGAATGCTGCTAAGGAAAGGCCGGGTGACCTCAGCATCCCCAGGAAAAACTCATTAATTAGGAACGAGCCAAGGACCAAGCGAAGGTGCCGTGGGCAGCACATGTGCCCGGGACTGCGGTTCTGCCCCCCGCGTGTCTCACCCACCTTGCTCGCCCTTCTCGCCCTTCTCCCCRTCACGGCCGTCCTTCCCGTCGCGCCCGGGGAGCCCGTTGTGGCCAGGGTAGCCGGGCGCCCCCCCCATCCAGTTGGCACATGGCGCCTTGGGGTCGGGCTGCGGGTCCTCGCCGGCCATCCCCATGCCACCGAGGGCCACCAGCAGCAGCCCGCACAGGAGGCAGCGGCCGGCGGGCCCCATCGCAGCTCCCACGGYGGCTTCTGCACCTGCAGAGGGAATAAAGCTGCAAAGTGGGGTAGCCAAGAGGCCAYGCAGCAGTGCCGCAGTGACATGGACATGGATGCTCTCTTCCAGCTCCACAGGTGGGTCCTTGTGCCCTTGGARCAAGGCTGTGCAGAGCCTGCTGCACGGGTGTAAAAATTATATAAGTTATTTTCAAGGAGGAAGCACCTCTATGACTGCGCTGCAAAAGCTTGATAGCATTAAATAAAAAGCAAATAATGGCATTTCTTGAGCTAGAACTGGAATGTTTTCAAAGTTTCAGACCCCGGGAGCTGGGCGTGCTGCGGGACACATGGAGACCCTCCTTGAAGTCCAGAAGCTGTGTGGGTCGGTGGCAACGGAGCACCAGCCCTCGCCCTGCGCACACCGACGGGGTGAGTGACTCAAGGGGAGCACATATGTGGAGTAAATTATAGTCCAAAGCGGTCTGCGGACCTGAGAAACTCAACTCTCTGGTGTGAGCGCGTCTCATGCGAGAAGAGTTTTGAGCCGTGTTTGCTCRGGCTGAGTTGAACGCGGCCATAGCTAGAACAGCCCGTTACCAAAGCTTAACCATTTCTTTTCATACTGCAGTCTGCTCATTAATGTAACATAAATGATGTGCAGATGTGGCTATGTTTGAATGCCTTTTCAGATGAGTAAGAGTTAAACAAAGTCCTTTTAGTGCATCYCAGTTAGTATTAAAAGATAGCAAGGGAATAAAAGCTCCTATGCATTATATAGGGTTTATTTGTTGATCAGTGGATATATTATCCATAACAACAATATTAAGTGCTTTATGGTGACTTGGACTGTGATTCAAAACTAGAATTTCATCTAGCCCTCTATGTACATATATATGAGAACTCTTTTCATAAAGCGCATTTAAAAAAAGAATCTAACTGCATTTTCCTATTCCAGTATTGATCTCTTTTTAACTTTCTTTTTGTGATTACTTCTGTGTAACACAGATGCATTCTGTGGGAGTTGCGGTGGGAACTTGCCCCGTGGGGCTCGCAAGCGGAATCGGATTTTGGAGCTTGGGATTCTGCCTGTAAGCAGATATAATCTGGTGAGATCTGGACCCAAACCAGTCATCCTGGGATTCCGCTGGGAAGGATGTGAATCCAAAGGTAGCACTGCACTGTTTATGGGAAAAGCCACGTTTTTCTCCTTGTTGCTCCTGAGCACTTTTGGTTTAGATGTCTTGATCTCCAAGCAAAAAGGAGTACAAACCTAAGCGGGATCGGCTGCTCTCGGTTTAAAATAGTTGCTGGCTATTCTCAGAGTAGCTCTAATAAAGGAAACTTCCTGCACACAGAAAAGTCTGCATGATTCAGCTCAAAAGAAGCGAGAAGAGAACTTAAGGGGGAAAAGAAATCCTGCTTACCAGCTGCTCAGAGTCCTGGCTGGCTTGCTGCAGCTCCTTGGAAGTGAAGTCCTGCTCCTGCCCCACTGTCCCTAAGGGCGCGAGGAGCTGTCAGCTAAGAGACCGGGTTTTCCATTTGCTCTTGCGCAAATCCCATTAATTTTTCCTGGCCCTCGCTTAGTTTAGGGCCACTTATGTAAAATCCAGTCGCGGAGCGAGAGCCAGAGAGATATCCTTAAAGGGGAAAAAAGACGTGATTTGGGGATCTAGAGGAAGCCAGGCACAAACGGGCTGTCAGGACAGGCTATATTGGAAAGCTGAAGCTGTCAAGGGCTGGACCCTCTCCATGCCCAGCAAACCACAAACCTCTCCGTGCCCAGCAAGCCGGGAGAGCCGGTGAGGAGCCCACGGAGAGAGGGTGTCTGCGGGCCACACCGAGGCATTTGAAAGCGTTTTTTCCCCGTGTGTCAGGACATGAGTTATAGCATGAGATGCTTTAGCTTCCCTTTTAAAAGGCAGCRGAGGAGCCCGCACCAAAGAAGGGAATTGCTGCGGAAAGGGGCAGAGCTGCGAGGGAAGCAGCTCCAAAGCCTGGCACATGAGGGTGCTGCCCTAAACCTTGAGAGCAGCTTTAGCCCTACAGGTGGTTTCCCACCTACCACAATTTCTGGCTTTAGGACAAAACACAATAACTTTTTTTTTCTTTTTTTTTCTTTTTTATTTCTTTTTTCTTTTTTTTTCTTGTGCATCTTACTTTCCCAACTGGAAGCTGCGGGATGCTGAACCTAAAAGACATGAGGCTTTTCTCTCTGATCCTTCCAGCACAGGTCAGCTAGCTAGCWATAACCTAAACAAACCTCCCGCCTTGAAATTGGATGAGAGCAGTTACTCCGTGCAGGGAAGGACATAGGGAGTTTCCAGACCAACGTGTTCCTGCCCACCCTGCTTCCCAACACAGCGCTAGGAAAGGAGCTGCTGTTGGCAGGAATGCGAAAGAATCATCCATGGGAATGTTAAGCAGGCAGTGTCCCAAACGACCGAGTTCTCGTTAAGACCTGGCTGTCCAGAAAGCATTAAAGGAGGTTTGGGTAAATGCACAGCTTAATAGCCTTGATGCACAGCTCGAGTCCAGGGTGGGTTGCAAAGTGAGGAGGAGAAATGCAAGGCAGGGAGAAGCTGTTCAATGGCTCCTCCTTCCTCCCTTGGTTTGGTCGAGCTGTTGGTCCCRTTTTTGGAGAATTTGCTGCTTTTTCTTTCTTCTTGTCCCACCTCTTGGCAATGATTTTTCCAGGCAATGCTGAGGCTTAAAACACTCACCCCTCCTGTAAGCCTGGTAAAATTTGACAGGGATCCAGCTGGATCCATAGTAAAACAACTGAAAAGCAATTGGGATCCCCTACCTTCCCCCCTCATTTTTGTTTTTAAGCGGAGCTGAGTTGTTCAGCTCCCTCTCCCCTGGGTGTGGGCACAGCAGTCGGGCTGCATCCTGTGCCAGCTCTTGGCAGGAGCACCAAAATGCAGGATTTGGTGTCTCGTCAGGCTGCTGGTACAAGGAAGCTGGACACGCCGTGTTCAGCAGGCCCCATTCTGGGTGCAGAGAGGTGTTTGGGGACAGTTCTTAGGAAACCACCGTGGTGACGAGGGTGGCAAAGCCATCACCGTCTGGAGGCTGCTGGCCCGGTGCCGGGTGCCTTTTCCGCGTTGACTCCCGCAATGATTCCCGCTTGGCACCGCGGGAAGCGCTGCCAGGGCCTCGGCGAGCCAGGAGCCTCCGCCAGCCTGACCTTGACCTCTCTCCCGGGCCTCCTGCCAGTGCGGAGATGGGTGGGAGTTTTGCCCGTCACCAGAAACAAGCAGGACGCTATATTGAGCTGTAGAAACGAGACAAAACGGGGGCTCTGGCTCTGAGCGCTGCTGGCTGAGGTGCTGTTCCCGCCRGCTGTCCCACTGCAAGCATTCCCTTGCAGTGGGACAGCATTGCTGGCCGAGCCCAGAGGAATCCAGAGCTGCAATTTAGCAAAGACGTGAGCAAAGTCTCTGCAGGTGAAAGGCAGCTCCGGGGTCCCGTATCCCTCCGTGTCCCTGTGTTCCCGGCACTGGACACTGCGTGTCCAGGCACAGGACGCCCTTTCCCCGGTGTTCCTGCGAGCTCTGCACTCACCAGCATGTCAGAAAAGGCTGTTATTTTTTTGAGCTGAGTTACTGATTTCTCAGCCCGGGCTCCCCTTCCCCTGAAAGAGGCAGCAAAGCTTGTGCCAGCTGCAGCAGTGGCAGCTTTGGCTTCCCGGTGCACACAGAGGAGCTTCCTCGAGCCCGGGGGGAGTTTCTCCTGGCTCCCGGTAAGGGATCCCTGCACGCCGGCGTTCTCGTGCGGAACAGCCCTTAAATGTGTGGGTTGGGAAGCTGCAGGRCTGCAAACGTGACTCGGAGCTGCCTCTCTCAGCACGAGAGCCGGTCCCAGGGCCCTTGGTGCTGTGGTTTGGGTGTCACCAGTGGCTGTCCCCGGGACCTGGGGCAGTTCTRCTGCCCATCGGGACCCTGGCCGGGCGCCTTGGGCTGCTCCCTGGTAAAACAGTCCCCGAGAGCCCTGCAGACTCCTTTTTGCACCCTTAAAGAGCGTGTTCACAAAGCGTGTGCCTTACTTATTAAGACAGCACAGCTGAATAATTCAAATATGAACAACTTCTTGGTTCTCTGTTTCTTTTGTGTCCATGAATTTCCACCTTATGGGAACGGCAAGTCCCCCGAGCTGCGCGCTGCCGACATTAGATGGAGCTAACGGCGCTTCCCAGAGCAGCTGGAGACGAGAGGCTCCGATCCCAATCCCGCTGGTGTCCCAAGCGTCAGGAGGCAACGGGAGCAGGGAAGTCAATGCAAAGGCAGAGGAGCAGGTAGGGGCTGGTTCGGGTCCATTGCCCGCTGCGGGGCCATGGCCTGGGCTACAACGGCTGGGAAGAGCAGCGCGTRCCCATGGATGCCCTTGGTGCCCGGAAAGGGGAGGGGATGTGTTGCTTACCCCCTATGAGGAGAGAATCGGGGCCAGCTCCAGTACTCGTCAATGTGGAAATGGAAACTCAGACAGAAGGAATTGGTCCTAGTCCTGGATACTGCAATTGTTGGGCTCTGGTGGGCGCGGGTGCTGCTGGGGTCACCTCTGAGATCCCTTCCCTGTGCCCCTCCGCTCCTGGCCTCCTTTACAACATTGTTCCCAAACCAATAACCTCTCCTCTGAAACCCAACTAGGGCCCTAAGGGAGAGCAGCTTCTGTATTTCCCCCATCATTTACAAAATCGTATTGCTTGGAAGCATGGATGTGATTAGTTAAAGTCACTGTGTAGCTTAAATTCTCCAGAAAGTGAAATATTGTTGTGGAGTATGAATAATGCATTTTTCACCTAGAAACTGGAAATCTGACCCAAGGTGACTGCCACAGGAATTGTTTCTCTGGGCACGTCAGGGTGTAACACAGCGYTCCGGGAGCCATCGCCCACGATGACGCACGGATGATGTTTCGAAGGGTATTTATTTATATCTAATAGAATGCATTTATGGTTTTGCAGAGCAAAGCCTTCTGCAAGGCTTATGAAAATGAATAATTAAAGACATGGTAAGTGCTTGCTCTTCTGATGAGAGCAGCCACAACCTCCTTGTGACTGGTTTTAGCAGGAAATTGTTCTTTTCTGGAATCAAATTACTTTGCCTCTGCTGCGTGCTTTGCCTCCCTTTCCTTTGAAACACCATGGCAGCTCGCTTGCAGCCACTAATTCTTTTTTTTTTTTTTTTTTCCAGCTTGGGAAACTGTCTTCACCTCGCAGTGCAGGATGCAGGTCTTGGAGCAGGTCCCCAGCCAGGTTTATTCTCGCTCGTGTTGCAGCATCTTGCACAGCATCTGCTGAGGTGTGAGATGCAGGATGGGGCCTGGCAGAGCAGAGCTGACCTGTGTGGCTGCAGAAACACTGGCCAGCTTTTGCTGAAGACATTTAGCAGCATTACAGCCCTGGATGTCTGCAAAGCGAGCCCCCCACGTGCTTCCTGCTGCTGCACATCCTCGTGTTTTAAAAAGCTCCCACAAATGCCCGTGCAAAACCCCGACCTCGTGCCTTGTGTTTGCAGAGACCCGTGGTAACAGGCCAGCTCTGCTGGTAYGTGCTGGGCAGAAGCAGGTGAAGCCCTCGGGGTCATTCCTGAGGCCACTGCTGGCCAGTGGAGGCTCCTAAGCAACCGTTTTAACCTGGCTGTGGGTGTGGATCCAGTTTTCTTTAAGGAGGGTAAGTGTGAAGGACACGGGGYTTGGGGAGCACATGAGCGCTGTGAGCTCCACCTCGCAGTTGCTTCCTGGGCATTAGGCTCAACTGTGTAAATTCAGCTCCTTTTACACTYATAATCCCCAGGAGGCCGGCGTCTTTAGTAGAGATTATTCCTTGTTGCTGCCGTGGCGAGGCAGGGCCCGCTCCCTGCTGCCTCTTCTCACGTAACACCCTCTGCAGAGCCAGGAGAAAAACRCAGAGAAAAAGAAAGCATCTCAGTTGTTTCTGCACGATATAGCTACACGTATCCATTTCACCAAGAATTCCCTCCATTGCTTTTCTTTTTGGTTTGCTTTCTGTATGTTTGTAACCATAAGATCCTGCCGGTGAAGTGCACTGCTGGTGCATTCATTGACATGGGGAGCGTTTTGGTGGAGAAAAAGGAGTAGAAAAGTCCTTTTTGCACAAGGAGTAGAAAAGAGGGTCTTTTTCCACAACTGTAGAGGCATCCAGCCTCAGACTATAGCTCGGTTGCTTGTTTTCATTGGGCTTTGTCTCTGCAAATATTTTCATTAGACTGAGCCATAAATAATTGCTTACAGCTTTGCCGTTATGGTTTGCAATGAGCCTGCAAATGTCAACATGTGTTTTTGGGAGATARTCAGGACGCTTTTGTGCTTAGCAGCTCTGTCATCTCTCGCCCTCCCCTTCCCTCTGGTTTGGGGTGTTGTTCATCTCCTACCTTCCTCTTAGTGCAGGGTGCCTTTTTTAATACCTCAGAAAACAGTTGACTTCAGGTCTTTGTCATTTTAT